GAAATATTCTGATGGCTTCTAGTCTTGCCACAGGTGCAAATGTTTCATCGAAGTCTATGCCTTCTTCTTGTGAATATCCTTTTTCCACTAAACGTGCTTTATTTCGTATGACAATTCCATCCTCATTTGCTTTATTCCGAAAGACCCATTTTGTTCCAATTACATTGTAAGTTTTAGGTCTTGGAACTAATTCCCATACTTCACTTCTTTTAAATTGATCAAGCTCTTCTTGCATTGCATTGATCCAATCTAGATCACTTAGAGCTTCTTCAATGCTTGTGGGCTCCACCTGAGAAAGAAAACAACAAAATATAGTATGTATATTTGAGGACCTTGTTTTTACTCCTTCTCGTGGATCTCCAATCACTAGCTCTGGAGGGTGATTTTTGAGCCATCTCAAGTCAGGTTGTAGGTTGCATGGGCTTTCCACGTTTCCTTGTTCAGTAGGTAAATTGGAGGTAGATATATTTTGCTCATCAGATTGATCTCCAATTTGTATTTCAACTTGAGAATTTTGATTTTCCACGTGGGGATCTTCATTGGCTTCCACGTGTCCTTCACTATTGCAATTAATGTCCAATTGCTCCATACCCTGTACAATTTGATCTTTAAAAGATGTGTCAGTATCATTAAATGACTTTTCAACTTGACAACTTTCCTGATCATTTTTGTTGCTCTGGGTTTCCTTCTTATGAGCTTCATCAAATGTAACATGAATTGATTCTTCTACCACCATTGATTTCTTGTTTAATACTCTGAATGCTTTGCTGGTGGATGAATATCCCAAAAATATTCCTTCATCTGCACGCTCATCAAAAGTCTTTAGATATGTTTTACCATTATTAAGAATAAAACATTTGATGCCAAAAGTATGAAAGTAATTGAGTTTAGGTTTTCTCCCTTTCCATAATTCGTACGGAGTCTTATTGTAAGACTTGTGTATCAAGCTTTGATTTTGCGTGTAGCAAGCGGTGTTGATTGCTTCAGCCCAATATCTTTTAGGTAGCTCGGCTGACGTAATCATCACTCGTGCGGCTTCTTTTAGCGTTCTATTTCTTCTTTCGGCTACACCATTTTGTTGAGGTGTACGTGCGGCAGACAATTGATGTAGAATCCCTTGAGAATTGCAGTAGGCTTCAATTACTTGATTCACGAACTCTGTTCCACGATCAGTTCGGATTTTTGCAATTTTCAAGTCTTTCTCGTTTTGTAGTAGCTTGAGTAGTTCTGGCAACTTTTGCTCTACTTCATTTTTCTTTTTGAGAAATATCGACCATGTGTACCTGGAAAAATCATCAACAACAACTAGTGTATATTTCTTACCACTTAGACTTACTGGGTCTACTGGACCGAATAGATCCATGTGTAGTAAACTTAGCGGTCTTGTTGTAGATTCTTGAGCTTTGGATTTGAAAGATGACTTGATTTGCTTTCCTCTTTGGCAAGCATCACATATTTGATCTTTCTTATAAACAATGTCGGGTAGACCTTCAACGAGTTTATTTCTTGCCAGCTTGTTGATAGTCTTGAAGTTTAGATGATTCAACTTCTTGTGCCATTCCCAACTTGTCACGTGTGAGTTGTTTGCTAGTAGACACACTGATTCCTTTGTTGTGTTCCAATCCACAACATACATATTTTTCTTCCTTATTCCTTCAAGCACGACTTCTCCCGAGGAATTGGTCTTTACTTGGCACTTGTCTTTGAAGAACTCTACTAGATATCCTTTGTCACAAAATTGACTTGTACTCAACAAGTTAAATTTTAGACCTTCAACAAAGGATACATCTTCGATTTTCAATCCATTTCGAAATATTGTACTAATTCCTTTTGTTATGTCGCATCGTTCATTTCCACTGAATACAACTTTTGGTCCTTCGATATTTTTAAGATTCACAAGACTAGATTTATTTCCAGTCATGTGTCTAGAACATCCACTATCGAAGTACCAAACTTCCTGCAAATAAATTACACATTTTTAGGTACCCAACTTGATTTGGGTCCTTGGGTGTTAGTCATTTTTGGTACCCAAATCCACCTTGTACTCACTGATCTAAGTTTAGGTGATTGGTAACCATTAAACACATTATAATCATATTTAATTTTTGAAAACAATTTTTGTGCCGGTTTTTGAAAATTGACTCGATTTTTTGGCACGTGGGAGGTAGATTGTTTGAGCCTATGATAAGCATTAAATCTGGACTTAGTCCATGGTTTAATATTATCAAACCAATCTTGTCTGGAGGGATAAAATCTCCCTGCCTCAATTCTTGGATTCCTTCCCATTTTCCTATGAGGGCTTTGTGCACTAGACTCATTGGTGTATTTCCATTTAGGAACAAACTTTTGCCTTTTTGTATACTGTTTAGGCGAAATATTATTTCCTTGAGGCTTCGGCCTAACAGTATTAATTTTGACATTAGTTTGATAACCAATTCCTTGTCTCACTGTGCTTTCTTGACCTTTTACAAATTTTACTACTTGGACTTTATTATTTAAAGTAGTAGTAGAATTGGCCAAATTTTTGGAGGCTTGAGAACACGATGGATCATAACCGAGTCCGGTTTTATCACTTGAGGATTTTTACATATTTACCATTTTGTCCATTATTTTGGATGAATGTGTAAATGTTGCTATAACCTCTCTAAGGTTGTGTTCTCTCACTTCCCTTGATTTACACTCTTCTTGAAGACAAATAATTTTATCTTTCAAGTCTTTCACTTCAAGTAGAGCATTTTGCAACTTTTCATTTATTTGATCTTTTTCGAGAATCAAAAGACAATTGCGCTCTTTGAGTTGAGAGTGAGTGTCCATTACGGTTTGACATTCTTCCATTAAGTGAAAGAAGGACTCTCTAGAAAATGAAGAATTGACAGAATCATAAGAGTTAGATGTTACCTCATTTTCTTCACTTCCATTTGCCATAAGACACATGTCCTCGTAGGGTGAGTTGTTGGAGATGCTCATGCAAAACATTGCATTGTCATCCTTTGAGGTGTCACTTTCATCACTTGAAGATTCTTCTGACTCACTTATCTCAAGTGGGTCACTAATGAGTGCTTTTCTTGTCATTTTCTATTTTGAAGTTTCATTATAAGGTTAAAACAGCTAAAATCTCACTACTGCCAATGAGGGGAGAAAACGCAGGGAAAGGAAAGAAAAAAAAAACACAGGAGAAAAGGAGTTGAAATGAAATATGGTGAAAAGACTGTGCAAGTACAAATCCAGACTCAAGTCCAGTCTAATGGAAATTGAAAGGTGAAACCCTATCCCTAATTCTAAGTCGTACAAGTATTTTGGAGTAATAAAAACATGTACTTTACAATAAGGCAGTTGAAACACACCACCTATTCGATGGATTTCCTCACAGGTATGCAGAGAGAGGGGCTTCAAACTCGAAAGTGCTGAGGGCAGAGAGCCGAAGACGCCTAGGGCGGAGAAACGGAACTGGAGAGGTTGCGAGACACAGAGAGATGATGAGAGCAACGAGGCAGAGACCGGTGACTCCAAGGGAGGAGAAGCGGCAGTAGGGTTAGGTTCTGTCTGGGTGTGTGTATAGAAATTGTATTAAAAAAAATAGGATAAAGATTATTGTTTACATTTAATTTAAATTAATAATTATTTAGTAATAATATCTGTTTAAATTATTTTTTGAACAATTTTTAAAAGTTTAAATATAAGATAGAGTTTAATTAATCGTGTTATGTTAGAATAGTTTGATTTTATTCAAATTTGTTATTTATTATTTATAGGGATATGCAAATTTTGGTGAAAGTTTGGTTAACCGATCAAATTGAAGAATTTTGGTTAACTTTTCTTTAAGAGAAAAATTTTGGTTCAATTAATGGTTAATGATTTGTAAAATTTCAGTTACCAATTAATTCGGTACGAAACTATCGATTAACAAAAATTCTAAATATATATATAAATAATTAAATGTATATGAATGTTTGGACTTTATAATTTGTGATTTTATATTTATAATGTTGCTATATTGTTGTGTTTGTATTTTTTCTTATGATGAATTTATTATTATATATGTTATTTTAATTGAATTTAATATTATAGGTATTATTTTAAACATATATACACACACTCAAGTATATACGAATAATATACCTTTAATATCTATATTAATAATTATTCTTATCAAACATCAATAATTATTGCAATCTTGATATATAAATAGATCAGTATATTTATATTTTATATTGATATTTTTTAAATAAAAAACTATATATATAAAACAAAGTATGCTCTGTGAGATTTAAATATACAAAGCATAATCTACGAGAAACTTAACTCGTAGCAGCGGAAGCGGAAGCATTGTAGATCTCCAGCCATAGTTGATATCCTGTTGTATTGTAGATCTGCAGAATAGGGTTAGCTGTTTTGTCTCATACTTGACTCAGAACCCTAGATGGTGTATTGGTATTTTCTGAGCAGTATGAGTACCATATAATATTCATGTATCTTGTATCCCATCAATACAAGCTTTATATAGGCACATTGGTGGATATAAGACTTAAACCTAAAGGTCCAACCCAACCAATTACTTAATGGGCCTAGTCCACTTGCACCACATAAGTAAGACCCATAATATATAATATATATTATACGGGAAAGTCTTACAGTCTCCCACTTGGTGCAAGTAATAGCACAATTCGCATTAAAGAACAAAACACACGAATCATAGTAATATGTCCTCTACTGAATAAGTGAGTAATATCTCCTATGATCACATGCATATTTGATTCCCCAACTTGAATCCTTTATGAACAAACCCAATGTTTATTCTTGGTACCTGAAGGGATGTTTCTCAAAATAAAATGTATATGCGCAACTTAAGAGAGAAAATCATCCAAATTGTACAAAAGAGTACATTGTATGATCTCTAATATCCTTAAAAACATGCCTTAAGTAGAGATCTCTTAATTAGCATAATGCTAACTATATATTCCATAACTTCTTTATAAGTTAACATAAGTACTACCTCTAACGGCTAAGAGCTTGGAGTTGACACGTCTGTCACTCCCACTCATCAAAATAGCCAAAAGATAGTCAAGTCACAGAAGCATTCCAATAACTTAGACAATAAACCAAAACTCTAAGTACATAAATTTGGAATCTTAAACATACACCATAACTTCCCAAATAATCTTTAAGGTCCACCTCAAAATGAACTGAACATTATGAGTCTTACTTTTATGTTTCTCAAAATTGTCTTGAGCCTTACAAACCAAAATGGCCCAGGATCAATTTTGAAGAAACTAAAGACTATTAAATGCTGAAGAATTTATTACTTAACAGTGCACCACAAGTTATATGTTTTGTTCTAATAAACTCCTCAATATTGTTACAACATTTTCATAAATATGTTGCTAAACCAATATGAATTTATATGAACAAATACAAGATTAATACTTGTGGAGTCTTTTGGACTTATTGTTTTACATACAATCCAATACGGGATGTATGAAGTCAATTAAATCCAAAATCTTTAATGGAGTATCTTAATGATCTTTTTCTAAATGATCACTCCCACTGATTAAGATATTTTTTAGCAAAATTAATGATATACGTACTCGTAATTGATTTGACCAACTAACAAATGAAGACATAATTCCCCACCATTAGTTGGACATACTAAAAATCAATTTTTGGTTCCAATTAAAGTCCAACTAAATAATGAAGATATTAATTCCCCACCATTAGTTGGACATACTAAAATAATAAAACACACCTTCCAAAACAAAGTTAGAATTTGGCTCAAAAGGTATATTTTAGTCTTGGAATCCAAAAGAGGTATATCACATCACATAACTTACTATAGTTGATCCAAATAACCAAGTAAGTTCGTGAAGCAATTAATAAAGGCGGCTAAATTTTGGGAAGTGACTGAATACATGTTTTGCCAATGCAAACCATGAAACTTAGAATTATAATTGAACTAAATTTATAAATTCTAAGAAATTGTGATAAAATTATTACCTAATGGGTTAAAGGATTTATTGACATAAAACTTGCTTGTGGGCTAAAGTTTTAATTCTATTAAGTCCAACTAAACCCTTATGATAATATGTTATCTCAATTACTAAATAGACAGAAGAATCTAGTGACATAAAACTTGCCTGTGGGCTAAAGTTTTACTCAATTAGATCCAATTGAAATTTTATGATGAAACAATTATCAAATAAGTTGAAGAATCAAGTGACATAAAACTTGCCTGTAGGCTAAAGTTTTACTCAATAAGATTCACAACAACTATTATGATAAAAAAAACTTAAGAAATCATGTTCATTTCCTTAATCCCTGTGGGTAAATTAAGAAATATGATTTAAAAATTTACATCATAAAATTAAACTTTATGATAGAGATGAGAATTATTTACAAATAACCATAAAGTAAATAAAATTAATTTATTTCTATCATCACTGATAAAACTACTAAACCACATTCCGATACATAATTGCCTGTGGGCTAAATTATGACCGTAGTCCAGTATTTCATCCTGATTAACTATACAAATATAACGAAATTGCCTGTGGGCTAAATTCCATCATATTACATACAATTTATCACAAATGATATGTCCAAAACTGTATGTGATCAAGATAAATTGCTTAATATATAATTTTAACTAATTAAGGATGTTGTGGCTACTCCCCAACTCATTAAAATTATAAGATCACTAGACAATTATCATTGCCATCTTTATGTATTTTAAACCTTAGACAATTTTAGTAAATTAAAGATGCTGAGGCTACTCTTTAATTAATCTAAAATTGTAATCACTTGGCAAAAGGGGAATTTAAAGCCTAACAAACAAATTAAACCAACACATGATAGACAATTATTAGGTATATACTCTCAGGAAAGTTGGTCGAGACGAAGCTCGGTTAAATACCAACTCCTTAGACAGAGTAGCGTCGCAAGGGGACTAGTAGCAACAAGGCCTTTAAGCCAGGGCCATAGAACTAGTATTCCTCCCCAAGAAACTTCCCTAAGTCATGCGTTCTCATGTTTGAAGTAAAATCGTTTGGAAGATCTAAAGATTGTAGATTCACATATGGATAAGGCTTTAAATTGATGAATTAAGTTAACGGACTAAACGTGCTTAAATTCAGGCACTACCGTAACTAGAGTTTATGCATTAGTCCAACTTAATTAGGAATAATATAATTCCATCCTAAATTTATGCATTTCTAAAGGCATAATAAGACAAAATTGCATAATTTAAAACAAAATAATATGCTTAGGACAAACATGCATAAAATTAAACATTAAACTCATATATTTCAAACAAATTGCATAGTTTAAAGCAATTTACAATATGAGATTTCAATAATTTTGAAATTTTAAACTGTAAACCCATGACAAAATGTTTTAATGCATAAAGATCAAATTTATGAGAAATAACTGAATTTACAAATTCTAACAATATCAAACCAAAATGATATGCTGTCATTTGTAATTCAAAATCTCACAAAACCTAATTGCATAATTAAACTTAATATTATGCACTTAATTAATATGATCAAATGCAAAAAACAATCTAAATAGTATGAAATCACACCAAATATTAATTTATTCATACTTAATCAAATATGGGCAAAATCATTAATCATAATTCAAAGACTGAATGAATTATGGAATAAATGTACAGTAATGACAATAGTCAGTTGCCTTAGAAAAAAAAAAAATTCTTATCTGAAGCATTGCCACATAAACATAATTGAAAACAAATCAGGATTCATAAATAAACCATAATAATATTGTTATCATTAAAATATTAATGGTAATAAATAAATAACCTTATAATCACCATTAATATTTTGTAATAACAACCAAAGTATGGTAATATACCTTCTTTAATGTTTCCATTTTTCTTAAAGAAATAAAATGTGGCAATTTCAAAATTATAGCAGTCAAACTATAACTATAGCACTAATTACCAAAAATGAATAATGATAAAACTTAATGACTAACCTTAATGATGCAAATTGCATCTCCCATAGTGCTATAATTCTTCCATCTTCATCGTCAGTAACCTCAATGCAACGTCCCGTAACAATAAACACTAAATAGGTAATCTTTCCAAACATAATAGATTACCAAGAAATAATAATTACTATGAAAGGTAATAAACGAGATTAGCCCCTAAACTTAATAATAGTAATTAATAATGCCAAATATAACTTAATAAATGGCAAAACCGCAAAACCATAATTAAGGGGATACTGAATGTCAATCTCATATTACCACATAACAATTAACCAAGACTATAATCTCTTTCAGGGAGACTGAAATTATGGTAATAATCAAATTATCATTGTAAAGGCAATATACCAACTATATTGCTTACTATATCATTAAAGGAATTAATATTATTATTAAGGCCCTGAAAACTATTTGATAGATTAAAATATATATAATCAACTTAAACAATAGTTATAATTCTTAATGGCCAAAATAACAATTATAATCCTTAAATTCTTAATGGCTCATAACTAGACCCAATATAATAATTATAGCACTTAATCACTCAAATTAGACTCATAAACTCAATGGTCCAAGTGAGTTGTGACATGGATATAAAATGGTCTAGTACTGAAATATATCCAAACTTAATAATTAATATTATTACCAACCAAGAATACCATTAACATAATATGGTAGTTAGTAATAATTAAGACTTAGTGAACATGTTATGCATAATAATCAATATTATTACCATAATAAACATGTTATAAGTCAAAAAAGAGCTATAATTATTATTTAAAATATCAATCAAAATGGTGGGATCCATACTTTAATGACCCAAGATAGGTCCCAAATAGCTTGTTCAAAATAGTTTCTAAAGTCCCAGAGACATAAAATTAAAATGTTCTCAAAATTAAGGGGAAACCAAACAAGCTACTTAACAGGCCATAATGCTTAAAATTGGCCAAAGGATCTAAAATTGAATGATATTTAATAATGAATTTATGAGTTAATAATATGTTAATCCAACCTTAATGCATGCTATTATGAATGTATAATTATAACAATAATTTATGAATATACGTAGCATGCTTGAATTTGCATATTAACATATTATTAACACATATATCCTAAATAAATTGCAATACTTTAGGCAATTAAATGTAAACCTCAATATTAAATTAAAAATTCAAATAGCAAATTTAAAACTTAATATTTGCCAACAAGTGAATAATAATTTAATAAGAAATTCAATGCCAAAATTAAGGAAACTATAAGGCATCATCCAAAAACAAGCAATTATCATATTTTAGATAATATTAATATGGTAATTTGAGACTAAATAATTACCATGTATCCTAATTAATATGTAATATATTAACTAAAGCAAATGAATATGGTAAAAAATATATATATATATATTGCATTTGAATATGGAATTTGCATACGGCTTACGATACAGTCCTTTGTGTCTTCCTGGAATGCCGCATGCCAACGCCGGACAAAGCTTGACAAACAACGACCAGCGCCGGCGACAGCCTGCAGCACGGAGCACCATCCTCCACCGTTGTCCACGTACGCTGCCCGTCGCCGCCCGCCACCGGTGACTCCAAGTCACGCCGTCGTTGTTACCGTAAAAAATGGAGACCGTAACCGGCGACAAAATCCGGCGATTCTCTTCCCATCAGCAAGGCTCACACTGGAGAATCCGTCAATATTCCTTTGTAGCCCATGAACCAGTGGCCATCGTTCATCTCGCACGTAGTCCGGAGTCCAAATACCGGTGATTCTCGTAGTCGTTTCCCGGCAGAAAAATTTTGAGATTATAAAAAAACGAAATTATAATTGCTTAATAAAATAATTTTCAGCAGTCCAAAAATCATATACAAAATCTTGATGTATATGAAAAATTAATATTGTTTTTAGGCAAAACAATCAACCAGGCAGAGATTGATAAAGGCTCTGATACCAAATGTGAGATTTAAATATACAAAGCATAATCTACGAGAAACTTAACTCGTAGCAGCGGAAGCGGAAGCATTGTAGATCTCCAGCCATAGTTGATATCCTGTTGTATTGTAGATCTGCATAATAGGGTTAGCCGTTTTGTCTCATACTTGACTCAGAACCCTAGATGGTGTATTGGTATTTTCTGAGCAGTATGAGTACCATATAATATTCATGTATCTTGTATCCCATCAATACAAGCTTTATATAGGCACATTGGTGGATATAAGACTTAAACCTAAAGGTCCAACCCAACCAATTACTTAATGGGCCTAGTCCACTTGCACCACATAAGTAAGACCCATAATATATAATATATATTATACGGGAAAGTCTTACATGCTCATATATTGATTTTAATTTATCTGGACAATTGTGTGTTATAGAATCTTATACCAATTTAATATTATCAATTCAATATATAATATTTTTTTATTTTAACATGTGGAAAATGTTGACCCCTCAAGAAAGGTAATACTAATTCATCTTTAGATGGTACAAATTTTTTGAGCACAAAGAATCGATCTACAATTGGATTGTTTACAAGTTCATTGAGTACATCGTACCATTTCGCATTCTCAATGATGGTACGTTATATATAATATATAATGTAGTATATATATATATATATATATATATATATATATATATATATATATATAAATTTTAAACAATAGTAAAGATAAATTAAAAATGGAACGAAAATTAAAAATGCAACGAAAATAAAAAATGAAACGAAAATATTCAAATAATAATATTATACATCATCAGTTAAAAATGGAACAAAAATTGGGTAAAAATATCACTACACCTGATATTCTAATTGGCTAATTGATTAATTGACTGCAAAAAAAAAGAATAATTGGCTGAAAATGAATATGATATTACTAATTTACTGAAAATATAAAAGGAAATAAATATTAATAGTTGATGGCAAATAAAAAATGATCCATGATTAACTAATATGAAAGAATAAATGGTTAGATCATTGCATTTTAATTAAAAATGAAACCGAAACTAAAATTAGACGGAAATATTTTAATAATAATATTCTACATCATAAATAGTAAATGCGTATTTTAAACAATAGTAAAGGTAAATTAAAAATGGAACGAAAATATTTTAATAATAATATTATACATCATCAATTAAAAATGGAACGGAAATTAGGTAAAATTATCACTGCATATGATATTCTAATTGACTAACTAACTAAAAATAAAAAATAATTGGCTGAAATGAATCTGATATTACTAATTGACTTAAAATATTAAAGGATCGCTAACTAACTAATATAACCATTATATATTTTCACCCGAGTCACTCATCCTGGACTAAAGGTGTTAGCTCTAAATGATGATGGACAAGATTGTATTGCTACTACCAATGTCGTCTACAAAGAGGTTTCAATAATGTGTAAATATGATCGTTGATATTATGTTCTTTTTAATGACAAAATTGCTATATATCTAGACAAAAAATATATCTTCCATACAAATGAACTAAGATAGCAATTCATTCTTATAATTGATTTGTCAGAGAACGAGCACATTTGCCTAATTTATAAAAAAAATACTAAACAATGATAAATAAAATCTCCAAAGTTACAACACCGCATGCGTACATCTAAACGTTATGATAAATAATTTGAGCAATTATTCGCTCAAATTCAAGCAATGATAACATCAAAACACATAAATGATCCAAATCATATCTTCAATTGCACTATATAATATTTAATGTTCTAATTTAAATAATTATATATCAATCCAAATATTTTTAATATATTACAACAAATTCATTCCGTGCATCGCACAGCCAAAAATACTAGTGCTATTAAAAAAAAAAAAAGAGCTTTATTTTGGGTCTCATGTTCAACCACGAAGGTTTCTTTTCCTCTTCTTGGTGGTTAAACCAACTTTAGTGATGGGCACAAACTGTACAAACCCATCTGTGTCTCTGTACAATGCCACCACTCCTATTTTCTTCACCATACTCGCTTTAACTTGTGTTTCATCAACACTAACTTTCATGACTTCTCCAACTTTTATATGTGTACCTAACCCATCATCCCTTGGACTCCAATGTAAAAATGAAATTTCTTCCACTTCGTATTGGATCTCATATCCATATATTTTGACTCCTAAACCATTAATTTGAATTGAGACTACAACATCACGGTGCGGGAGTGGTTGAGCTTTGAATACCACCCAAAAAAATAATCCAAGAAATCCCATTGTATAATTCTCTGAAGAATTGTTTAATGGCCATTGAAAAGATAACAACGATCCTTCTTCCTTGCATCTAATCCAACTCGGAACTTCATTACATGTAAGAGTACATGTAAAATCAGACTCCAACTTGGGACCTATTAAAATCTGTACGTGTAAGGAAATTAAAATCAGACAAGAGTATCAAGAGATAGAATTAATGAATAGAAATTAATTATGTACAACATTTTAGCTATATATTTATCATTAGATCCCGATAGGTTCAATTATATTCCCCACTAAAATTTTGTCATTAATTAATATTAAAATAGAGTTAATACCCAAAATGGTACTTGACTATAGTGGTTTTCTCAATTCGTGCTAAATAATTTTGGTGACCTAATGTAGTCCCAGTCTTTTGTGTTTTTGCTCAATTTAATCTTCGTTTGTTATTCCGTCAAATTTGTGTTAAATAAAGGGACAATTTAGTAATTTCAATACTGATCTCTCTTTATAATCTCAACCCTGCGAAGTGCGAAAATCATCTTTCTTTTACAAATTGCTCCTAGACCTGCGAATCAAATTTTATATTCGCAGGTTGGGGAGTAATTTGTAAAAGAAGATGGAGTTTGTACTTTACATGTCTAGGAGTAAAGAGATGTCAATATTAAAATTACTGAATTGTCTCTCTATTTATGACCAAATGGACGGAATAACAAACAGAAGACTAAATTGAGCAAAAACACAAAAGTTTAAGAGTACATTAGATCACCAAAGTCATTTAGGACAAAATTGATAAAAGCCATTATAATGAAATACCATTTTATGTGTAGATCGATGACACAAATTGAAGAGAGAGGAAAATTAAATGTATACATACCTCCTTAATGTTGTTTGAGAGAATGTTATGTGGTGTACCTCCTAACTTCAATATCAATAAGGAATGAAGATTCTCCCAACCTTGAATCTCCTTCAACTTTCTACAACCACTGAAATCCAACTCATACAACCCAGTACACTTTGATAAGTTGGGTACTTTTTCTAATGAAACACAATTTCTAGCTTCAAGACTTGTAAGTTTTTGAGGAAGTTGTGGGAGAATTTTCAGCTTTTTACAGCTGCTTAAATTGATTCTCTCAAGATTGGGAGGGAGTTGTGGGAGCTTTTGAAGGTTTTTGCAGTTATATAAACAAATATGAGTGAGAATGGGAGGGAAGTCTTGAACCATGTATAAGTTCACACAATTAGACAAATAGAACAAGTTTTCAACACTATGAGAAAGCTTTGGGAGTACTTGTAGTTTCTCGCAGAAATCCAAACCAATTGATTCAAGACTCAATAAGTGGCAAAGATTGTTTGGAAGTTTCCTTAGCTTTGAACAAAAACCAAAATCTAAATCTTTTAGTCTCACCAACTCTCCGATGGAAGAGTGCACTTTTACCAAATTTTCGCATCCTCTAAATGATAGCATACGAAGATTTTGAGCGCCACTGAAGTCCGGAGTTTTTGTCAGATATTTGGAAAAACTGAGGTTTACATACTCCAAACATGAAAAACACTGTTTTGCATTGGTCCATGCATGCAATGAACAAAAAGCAAAACCAAAATTATTATCTTATTAACAATTTTGTTATAGCTAGCAAAGAGATTAAAAAAAACAATAATATTACAAACTTACCTTTAAGGGGGCTCGAAATTCTTTGATGTTGCTCTGCTTCATTTCCAATTTCACAAGCTTCCTAAAAGAACAATTGGATGGAATATTAATATATTTCAATGGACAACAATTCCATTGCAGACATCTAAGTTCCTTGGATAGATGCTTGAACTTTCCATCGAGATAAATGTTCTCTCCATTGATTTGAAGATATCTTAAATTCTTCATGTTTTTGAATGCTTTTGTATTGTACTTCATATTTTTCATAGGAGAGTCCTTAAATACAATCACCTCAACTTTTTTTGTACCCTACAAAAAAAGATAAACTAGTTAGAGAAACACATACACTACATTGCATGGTAAATAATTAACTAAATTGGCATGCATGCATGCATGCATTTTAATTGATAAAATAACAACATAATGTAAACCTTTTTTCCAATAAGCACATCATGGATATCTTTAGGGCACCACAAGCGACTACGTTCACCTGGATTATTAGGTGACTCCAAACGAATAATTTCTCTTCCCATTGCTCGAATTAAGTCATGCATACTAATCCGGGTAGTAATACGGGAACCCCAACCTTGTTTTATCAGGCATTTGTCAACTAAGTCTCGAATTTCAATGTTTGAGAAATTGCCCATACTATCAATAGTGTCCTTGTCACATCCGCCGGTGAAACAAACAAGATCAAGAAAAGCAGATTTGGTACTATCATCTCGAAGCCCATCATAACTAATCTTTAGTTTAGCTTGCACATCTTTATGAGGAATTTTCTTCAATTTCTCAAAGGCACTAATCCATTCCTCTCTCGTTTTGTCAAACAGATAAGTCCCTAAAACTTCAAGAGCTAATGGAAGTCCCACACAATGAGCCACTATGTCATTTGCAAGCTTAGTATAATCTTCTTTTGGTATTGGCTCCCCAAATGCATGTAGGCAAAAAAGTTGCAAAGACTTTTCACGATTCAATCCCTTGGTTTCATAACGTTCATCCTCTTTCAACCTTTTCAACACATGTGTCTCTCTTGTGGTTAAAATAAGTCTACTTCCTCTATTAAACCAATTTCGTTCTCCACATAATGCATTAAATTGGTTTATATGCTCTAAATTATCAAGGACAATGAGACACTTTTTTACTTGAAGCCGCTTTTGCAACAACATGATTCCTTCACCTACATTGGTGATTTTGATCACCTCATTAAAAAGTTTCTCAAGAAGCTCTTTTTGTACAACTTTTATCTGATTATTTACTTTCTCAATATCTATCAGATTATCTTGTCGCCCTGAAATTGTTGACTCTATCTCAAGGAAGCAACTACTTTCGAAGTATCCAAAAAGTCTATTATAGACCGCTCTTGCAAGAGTTGTCTTCCCAATACCTCCCATACCAAAGATCCCAATTATACGTACACCATCATTCGGTTCTCCACACAATAACTGAATTACATGCTCAACACGAGAATCGAGTCCAACTATGTGTGTGGCAACAAATATTGGTACATGTTGTAGTATCAACTGTACATCCTTGATTATTGCATGGATGAACTTGGATTCATACCTTCAATTCACATATCGAAAATGAAAGCATCATGAAGAAACTTGCAATTAAATACATAATCAGACTAAGTGTTTCTCAAAAATAATACTTATACTGCAAATGTAATACTAATCAGAAATAAAGTGTTTATTAATTACTTATAGAGAAAATGTAATGTTTTTGAAGAAAGATGTAATACTTTTGAATTTTGATATCAAAGTATTACAGTTTCCCACATAAATATTATTTTTTCTCTTATAACTAACAAACAGTTGATAATATTACTTAGGGCATCCACAATGGTTCTTCCCTTTTCACCCCAAATTGTGGGCCAAACTCCTCACATCACATTATAATCTCATCTCTTATTTTCACTCCAATCTTCTCCCATTTACTAGCTCTCTTTTTGTGGGTCCTACTCATTCCAACTCATACACATCATCAGTTATTTTATTCACTTTTTTAATTAATAATTTAAATTTTATAATTATAATTTTGATTTTAAATAAAAATAAATTTAAATGACGAAATACAAAAATTAAAAACAAATTATAAATACTATATTATATACTAAAAAGTAATAAAATTTAAAATAAATTTTAATATAAAAATTTACAAAATAAATTACAATATATATATATATATATATATATATATATATATATATATATATATATATATATATATATATATAAAACAAAAAAAAAAAAAAAAAAAACAAAAGATCAGCGTCAACGGTGGGAATAATTTCAACCGATGAGGGTAAATTTAGCCTTGTTTAGATTTTTTATTTTTTATTTTTATAAACACATGGTGGGGTAAATACACAATAAATGCACTCCTTTAATGTTTCTCCGAAGAAACTATCTTCACTCCCCTCCAACTACTCTGGCTATATTTGACAAACCTATCTAAAAAGATAGCTAAAAGCTGAAAAGCTATAAGCTAGAAGCGGAAAACTAAAAAGCCATTAACTAGCTGATTATGCTTAAAAGTGTTTGGTAAAATTAACTTTTTATATAAATGTAAAAAGACTAAAAAGGACATTTTCATAAAATTTAAATGACAGTGATTATTATATTATTTTTTATATTATTAAATATATGAGATATATTTAATTTAAAAAAAAAATTGTTTTTATAATGTATATGAGATATATATTAAATTAAAACAAAAGAAAAAAAAAATTAATTGGGAATGTTAAAAGATGTCATAGATTTATAAACGGACGATTGGAGTTAGAACTTTAAGGAGTTGTTGGGGATGAAGAGTTGCGGAAGAGGATGAATAAAAATATAAGGAAAGAGAAAAAGCCAAAACGATTTTAATTAGGAGCGGTAAAGAATGTCATTTATTTAAAATCATCAGGATAAAGATAGGAAAAACATTAGGAAGCTAGTAGCTTATTTTTGGAACGCTACTTAAGATAATTTTTCAAAATAAGCTCTTATTTTAAGCTAATAGCTTATTTTGGAAACATTACCAAACAAAGCTTATAACTTATTAGTAACTTAAAATAAGTTATAAGCTTCTAAATATGCTCTACCAAACAGAGCCCCTGTCCTCTTTTCACTCCCTTTCTTCCCTTCTTTCTCTTTGGGTTGGAGATGCCCTATGTAAAACTTTTGATGAAGAATGTAATACTTTTACATCAAAATGAGTATTAAATTTTCATATTGACCCGACCTGTCTCACAAATAAGAATCCGTGAGACAGTCCTACACAAATGTGACCCTAAAAATAATAATGATATAATCCATAATCAAAAGGTTTAACCAATAGCACATAATTGACCACGAAAATAAATAATTGTTAAGAGAAAACATGGAGGAAGTAATACTATACCCATTGGCGATGCCTCGCAAATCCCATCCTGACATGTTTGCTACTTTCGTGAGCGCATCTCTCCATTTGTGTACTTTATCAGTTATTCCAAAACATTTTTCGTGCTTTGCAAAGGCCATGCCATAGTTCCCACTTTGCTTACGCACTTCAGAAGGCTCAACGTCATAAAAAATAGGAAAAACTACTCCCTCTGTCCCATTTTGCATGTCTTACTTTCCTTTTTAGTTTGTCCCAAAATGTTGTCCTCTTTCCAAAATTGAACATCACCATCATTCTACTTTTTCCCAAATTACCCTTATGACTTTTGCTTTTATTCCCAAAAGTGAAAAAGTGAAGGGCATAATTGAAAAATACATAACATTTACTTTAATTCCTTAAAAAGCGTGCAAAAAGCAAATGAGACAACCAATTCGGGACGGAGGGAGTATTTGTTTTTCCTTCTCCTTGGACTCAACAATTTCCACTAGTTCGTCAAGGCACCACCTAGACGAGGCGTAATCTTTAGAGAAGACTACCATAGCGATTGTTGAACTTTGGATCGCTCTTTTGAGCCCAGGGACAAGATATTCTCCCTTTCTGAGCTCCTCTTCGTCTCTAAATGTGCGGATTCCAGCTTGATATAGCGCAGAATAAAGATGATCGGTGAAAGTTTTGCGTGTATCTTCACCTCTAAAGCTCAAGAACACATCGTATTCGCAAGCAAAGGATTCATGAGTGATTGTGGGTGTTGCCATAGATGGAAGAAAAGTGAGTAAAAGAAGCAAAGCTATAAAATTAGATTGAAGATGGATAGCAACTGCGAATTGAAAGACTTGAATTTATAGAGGGAAATGGTAAAGTAGTAAATGTAAATACGGATCGGAGTGAGTATATATCATATATGATATTTGGAACGTAGAAATGCCAAATTTATTAATTAGGTAGCTCCAATAATATAGCTTTTTCATCTACTAATCAATAAAGCTGTTGGGAAATAGAATAACTGAATGCCGTCGGCCATCAGCCAATTATTATACCATCTACATGATAGACTATTGATATAATGTTCATTTTTTGTGTATTGAAAGTTTATTTTTAGGTATATTACTTGAAAATAAATTTTCAATACATTAAAAATGAACATTCAATATATTAGAAATGAACATTTATCTATGGTCCACAGTATGGTTGGTTGTCATCTGGGAAGGGATTGTTATGCCGTGGAACCGTGTCCACCTTGCAAGGTAGACACGGTTCTATGTTCATAATTACTGAACTCTATATTCATAATTATAAAACTATGTGTTCATAATTTTAGAATTCTATGTTCATAATTTTTGAACTCTATATTCACAATTATAAACAGTTTTAGAATCGTGTCCACCTTGCAAGGTAGACACAGTTTCACATCATAATTTGCCTCCGGGAAGACATTTAGGTATTTGTAATAATGTACGGCAGGGCCCAAAAGTTTAATATAAATAATATTTCTCAAAAATAATCAGTACCTACCCAATATGAAAAAAGTCAATCGTTATATCCTACACCACGGCGCACATAGCACTGTGCGTCGCGCGCCTCCCAAAACGACGTCGTTTTGGGGTCGTGTTGGGAGGCGCGGTAGGAAGTTGCTGAGATTATGTGTATTCGTTCACAACGTTATGTGTATTCGTTCACAACGTTATGTGTATTGGTTCATACAGTTATGTGTATTTTTTATACAATTATGTACATTGTTTTTATACAATTATGTACATCCGAATCAGAAAATTTGTGTGTATTATGTTAAGAGTTGATGTGTATTATGTTAAAAGTTTATGTTTATTATGTATTATGTTAGATTATGTGTATTATCTTTTAAAAAGAGTATGTATATTTTGTTATAACATTATGTGTATTCAAGTATAACATTATGTACATTCTTGAACAGCGGGTTTTTTTTTAAAGAAAAGCCTACTGCCATTCACTGGGGCGGGAAATTTCAAAAAAAAAATAATAATTAAAACGACGTCGTTTTGCATCTGGGCGCATAGTGCAATGTACGCCGTGGTGTAGGATATAAATTGCCGAAAAAAGTAATCAGCACCTACCTTTGTCTCTCATTATATCACGATGGAAGGTTTTTTGGTAATCTCCATTGACCTCAACAACTTCCTTGATGTATTTGTAATGCAATCTTAATCACTCATCTCACAGGGCATAAAATTTGAAGTGTAATGTTAAGATTAACACGAACAAGAAATAATAACACTGACATAAATTAAAGATCGAAGACAAGATTCACATTATTCGATAATGTGCCTATGCCCATGCGAGTAAAGTTATTTTTTTTATTAATCGTGACGGTGATAATGAAACATCCAAGGTTACACACATCATATCTATATGCAGTCAAAAACGTGTAAAAGTACAAAAATATCATTGTACTATGGGTCTGACCAAATCCACCCAATTCCTATTCATTATATGAGACATACTCAACAAATCTCCACATTGGTAAATATGCCTCTTAGGAGAAAAGACATATCTCACATATACTCATGGGTGAGGATAATAATCACCTCATCTAGCTAGCATCTAGAAATGCGTCACCATATAGAAAAGCATTTTTCACATCTATCTGCTACAAATTTAAATCCCGAATAGCTACCAAAATATGTACAAACCTAGTAAAAATATGTCTAATAATAGGAGAGAAATCCTTCTTTAAAAAAAAAAAAAAAAAAAAAAAAAAAAAAAAAAAAAAAAAACTCATTATAATCTATCCTCTTCTATTAAAAAAACCCCTTTCGCAACTAACTGAGCCTTGAATCTTTTTCTAATACTGGTGACTTCTTCCTATAGACCCACTTCCACCCTATACCATTCTTGCCATGAGAAAGTTGAACTAGCTCCCAAATATGATTCTAATGTAAAGACCACATATCCTCAATCATACCTGTTATCCATTTATCTTTCTCCTAGCTAGAAACAGTCTCTTGAGTGTATTTTGAATCTTAAGTTCTTTTGTCCTTTTGTCAAACTCAACTACCTGGCCAGTCTTTATTTATAAAAATTTATTCTCTTTAATTTGTTTTAGCCCCCTAGTTAGAGTATGGGTTTTGGCATCATCAAAAAGGGGAAAATTGTTAGGAACATTTTGTAATTAGATTTTGATGATACCAAATTAAGCACTCTCTAAATTTAAAGTCTTTTTGTTAGAATCCGAGTCACTTATGATGTGAACTTAGAGTGTATAGAATAGTAAAAAGATCTAGTCGATAGAAACTAGTAAACAAGAATAGGACAAATGAAGGCTTTTGAAGAGAAGAAGATCAAGACAAGACCAAAAGATTGCAAGTGATTGAATCATGGAAGGATCCACATTTTGATGATATCAAGAGCTAAATGATTAAAGAAATATTATTTAGTATTAGAAGTGACTAAGTAAGGACAACTAGTCATTTCCTCACCCGAATCCTTCATAAGGATTCGTGTAGACTGCTCATGCTCTCTTCTTTGAACAGTCCAACATTGTTTGCACAGATCCCCACTCTCAGAAAGAAAAGAAGTCCAAGGTACAAATCCCCAAGTGATGAAAGGCCTCATGAAGTGATGTGAGACAAAACAACTGTCCTCACACCTCTCGAACCAATGGCTATATTACTGACATTTCACATGTTTTCGTTATCTCAAGGACATTACCCATTGGATTATAGGGTGATCCGAAGTTTGTTCTCACTTGCAACAGAACAAATTTCCTCTATAAAAGCCATCTCTCATTAGCCTAGGAAGGCACGACAACAATACTCATATATGCTTACTAAGTTGTCGCAATCAAGTTCTAGTGAGAGAAAGAGAAAAGGATCCAATATTTCATATCCAGATTTGAAGAAAACTTGAGCAGCTCCAGCTTCTGCATTCAGCTTTCAGCCAAGTTTTTATTTGGAAGAAAAGATACATCAACACATCTTTTCTTTACTTGAAGAGTATATAGAGGCGGAGTAGACTAAGTGTAGTCGAAAAACCTATACTCAAGATTGTGTCCAGCTCTGTGTCAAGGAACAATCTTGGAGTGACTTTGTACTAAGGGGATAGTGCAAACCTTCACGAGTTATGAAGCAGAGTGGAGAAGGCTTAGTTAACAGCCGAACAAGTATAAAAATCTCTCTATCTCTCTCTCTCTCTCTCTCTTTATTACCGCATTGCATTCATTTCATCTTACTTCAATTGCTTGTACAAACCTATTTGAACAAATCGTGCAGAGAACCCAAATCCTTTCTTCTGTTGTGCACTCCTTCTCTAACGATTCGTTAAATCGTATAAGAGAAGTTTTAAAAATCTATACAAATCTATTCACCCCCCCCCCCTTCTAGATTTGTACCTAAACCTTTTCGGGACCAACACAAACCCTTTGACTTATCTTGATGTTAGACTCTAGTTGTTCAGTTTATCCCTTGTTACGTTTTGTAGTGCTTGACACTTAGGCCTATGTGCCTTTTTGTTCTGTTATGAGCGTAGACTCTGGTTTGTATGGGTTATGTGGCCCCGTTTGCGGATTGATATTTATGATTATGATATTTAGTCCTTTTCCTTGTAGTTATCCTGTGGAGGGTAACTACGGAGTAGCATCCCCTTTGGTTGTTTACTTGGTTACTTAGTACTTTATCCTTACCTTATTTTCGCAACCCGGCCTACCCTTTAAAGGTGATTATTAATAGGCTTAGAAGTATGAAATTGGGGGTGTTACAATAACCAAATGGTTCCTACTTCATGGTCCATCAACTCCTCCCAGTGAACCTCTACCAGATTAGTTGGATTTTCTGCCTTCAAGGTTTTCGGAAGTGCTAACAAATCCTTAACCTTAGACTACCATAACTTGAAATTCCTTATCTTGTACCATCAAAATTTGATACTTCACATTTCGCACTTGAAATGACCATCTCAATGACTCAATGATGCTCTGACATCAATTTGTTGAGATTAAGAAGAATAAGAAACAATTTCAATAGTAGAAAGTAAAAAAAGACATGATTTACATGGTTCGACAATGTGCCTACGTTCATGGGAGTGAATATATTCTTTATTAATTGTGATGGTGCCCAATCTGCTTCACTCCTATTTCTTATATAAGACATACTCAACACGTAAATCTCATTTAAATTTATCCATTTACATGCGCATACACGTAAATCTCATTTAAATTTATCCATTTACATGCGCATACACTAGCTAGATTAGCTTATGATCAGGATCATTCTATGTACTGGACTTGATCCCTCCTGACTCTATCGTTCAGTTCTTGACTTAATATATTGGCTACGCCATTTTTCAAAAAAGACTACACATAAAAATGGATCAATGTGCAGATTGAATAATAGATAATTATGCATTCACCTAGTTAATATTATAAGAAAAGTTGTAGGAAAGTAGTTAATGTGATGTGATCCAAATTTGGTTGAGTTGGGGACCATATAAATGAATGTAATATATTTTTTTTTATCCTAAATATAACATGCATACTCAATTAAATAATCTAATCTAATTCTAAAAATATTATGTGTAAATCCATGTTATGTCCCTAGTTTTTGTTTGTATTTTCAATTCTGATAAATTTTTATTCGTCAACTTTTAAATGTTGTACAATACATTTTAAATTGACAAAATTGCTATCATTCCATTATGGCCCTGTTTGGTAAAAAATTGGCCTATTTGTATTTTCAATTCTAATAAATTTTTCTTCGTCAACTTTTAAATGTTGTACAATACATTTTAAATTGACAAAATTGCTATCATTCCATTATATAACTACTCCTAATCTCCTATTAAAACTAAACATTTTATTAAGATAATTAAAACTAATTAAAGTTGATAGTTTTTAATGGACATGGCCC